ACTCTATTGCGAATGCTTACATGCATGCCATCACCAATGCCCAGCACTACGTCTACATGGAGAACCAGGTACACCTCCCTCCCCCTTTTCTCCCTCACCCCCGTCCACATGTCACTCTAACATAAGAACAAAGTTTTTCATCACGGCCACCAGCAAGGAACAGCACCCCGTCACCAACAAGATTGGTCGTGCCATTGTCGACCGCATCATCCGCGCCCACCAAAATGGCGAAGACTTCAAGGTGGTCGTCGCCATGCCCGCCGTCCCCGCCTTCGCCGGCGACCTCAAGGCCGACGACGCCCTCGGCACCCGCGCCATCATGGAGTTCCAATACAACTCCATCTCCCGCGGCGGACACTCCATCATCGAGACACTCCGCTCCGAGGGCGGCATCGACGACCCGGGCCGCTACATCCGCTTCTACAACCTCCGCAACTACGACCGCATCAACATCTCCTCCACCATGGCCGACGCCGAAGGCCGCTCCGGCGTCCGCTACGAGGATGCCCGCCGCGAACACGACGACAACGTCGGCGCCGGCTACGGCGAGCAGGGCCAGGGCTACGGCACCCGCGGCGACTCCCAGTACGAGCGCTACCAGGAGGCGGCGTCCCGCGTCTCGGATCAGACCTGGGACACCGTCTCGGCGTGCTACATGGACAGCGGCCGCGACCTGCACTCGGTCCCCTGGCACGGCGAGCCTGAGGCTGAGCTCGACGCCTTCGTCAGCGAGGAGCTCTACATCCACTCCAAGCTTCTCATCGCCGACGACAACCTCGTCATCTGCGGCTCCGCCAACCTCAACGACCGCTCCCAGCTCGGAACCCACGACTCGGAGATAGCCGTCGTCATCGAGGACCCCACGCCCATCGAGTCCGAGATGGCCGGACGCCCCTACACGGCCTCCAAGTTCGCCACCTCCCTCCGCCGCCAAATCTTCCGCAAGCACCTCGGTCTCCTCCCCGACCAGCCCTGCGACCGACCCAACGACAACTGGACCTCCATCGAGCGCGGACCCAACACCTACGACTGGGACTCCCCCGCCGACCGCCTCGTCCGCGACCCCATGTCCCGCGAGTTCTGGGACCTCTGGGAGGGCACCGCCCGCACGAACACGGAAGTCTTTACAAAGGTCTTCCACAACGTCCCCAACGACCGCGTCCGCACCTGGAAGGACTATGACGAGTTCTTCTCCAAATACTTCATCATCCCCGGCGCCAAGAAGGAGGACGACAAGCAGAAGGAGGAGGAGGCCAACCGCGGCAAGGTCGAGTACGGCCACGTCGTGCGCGAGGAGTTCCCGGGTGGCGTGCGCGAAGTCAAAGACTGGCTGAACCGCGTGCGCGGCAACATTGTCGAGATGCCGCTCGACTTCCTCGTCGACGTGGACGATATTGCCAAGGAGGGTCTGTCTCTCAACAGCTTCACTGATGAGATTTACACGTAAGAACAGATGGAGGGTGGATTCGGTCCGTGGCTCTCCGTTCACAACCAGAAACGCCAAAGAAAAAGTAAGAGAACAAGAAACACAACATCTTGCAATGTGTTACCGAAACAAACGACACAGTGATTGTCCGTGTATGGGTGGGAAGTTTGGAATTTAGAGCTGGGGAGGAAACAAATGAATCATTTCTTCTGGGTGGGATTTCAGAACAACCTCGTTCAGTCCAGAGTCTCGTGTGTAACAATGAAGCAAGCAGCCTATCATTCAACCGAACCTGCCTCTATGCCCACATCTCCTGATGTCTCGTCTCCTCATGATCGCAAGCCACAGTGAACCCTATCAGCTTAGAACTTGATGTCATATAAGCGACAAATTATCCAAGAAAAGTCGAAATCCCCGTATCCAAAATAGTACTGATCCAGGTTGAGGGTTCTAGCGAGTAAATGTCAAATAAACAATGTATAATCTGTCAAAGTGGCACGTAAGGTAGACGCGAAAGGCGTTGTATTCTCCTTTCTCCTTCCCCGCCACCACCGCCAAACCTATCAAACATAAAGGAGTATTTATTATACAGACCTCTAGGCCTCATCGGCCAAATCCCGCACCAAAGAGAAAGACATGCAACGGGAAAAAGAAACACTAATAAGAAAAAAGAGTCCCCGTCAAACTCCGTGAGTATTCACCTCAATGCTTTGGGTTTTTGGTACGTCATTCTGCTTTCCTTTCGTTGAAAGCAAGAAAAAAAAAGACAAGCACAACCCACACACTTTTGACGTTCAATGTTCCCCAAATCGTCGTAGCCTCATTCATGGCCTTTCCCATTAGTCCAACTTGCCAAGGTCATGCTGTGCAGGGCACCGCTGCTGCTCCTCCAGCTTCTTCCACTCCTGTTCGAGCAAGCACAACTTCTAGTCCACCTTGCCGTTGCCGCTGGGTCCCAGGAGACCCTCCTTCATCAGCTCCTTGTTGCCCCATGATTCTTCTAGGCGGAAGTGGCCGCCACGGCCCTTGCGGGTGCGGCTGCGGAACCACGAGAAGGCTCCAAAGGCCAGGCCGAGAATGCAGCCCATGGTGAGATAGGGGTGCTCGACAAAGGTGACACGGATGTCGAAGAAGATCTTCTCGAAGCTCGAGATGGTGAGCTTGGGCTTGATCTTGGGCGGCGAAGAGACGACCTTGTTAATGGTCTCCAAGATCGACGTCCGGGACAAAAGGATGTTGTTGCCAGTAATAGTCGTATCCCAGTAGCGGCGGTTCTAAAAATCAAGTCAGTCTGGCTGTTCACGTGCATGTGTGCGTCGGTTGTACTTACATCCTCGTCATTGATAATGACACGGTCTCCGTCCTTGGTATCAATGCCATAGGTGGTGCGAATCCATCTCTGCCAGAAGACACTATCAACCCAGGCAAAGCCAACCTGCTTGCGGTCCGACTTGTCCATGTTGATGCGGATGGCCTTGGCCGCACGCAACGCACGCCCATCGCCGCGGTCATCGGCCTCATCGATTCTGAGTTGCTTGGCATCTCGAAGCTCTTGCCTTTCGTGCTGGAAGAGAAGGATCTGCTTATCCATCCACTCGTTGGCAGCACTCTTCAACTCGCGCTTGGCTCTAAGGAAGCCCTCCTGGTCTTCCCTGTTGACGATTCCGAGGACGACAACCTTGCCGTCCATGATCTCGCGGGCATTGGAAGCGGTCATCTCAGGAACAATCGGAAGCCATACTGATTTCATCCAGTTCAAGACTTGGTGGATATCACGCATCTCCTTGGGTGTCAGCGGCTGATAGTATGTAGGGCGGCCCTCTCTGGAAACAAGCAAGCGAGGCCAGGTCGTGATCTTGTAACGGGCGAAAAGAACGGGATCCTTGGTCTTCACGAGCTTTGCCTTGCCAATCAGGCTGAGAGGGATGCGCTCAAGAGCCATGAAGTCCTCAGAGGTAGTGGCGTGGTCGTAGAAGTAGATGAAGATAACCTCTTCCTTCTCCTCGAGAGCTGCCAAGGACTCAGCGTCTACATCCAGTACTCCCTCGCTAATGTCGATGGCCTTGTTGGCGTAGTGAACAAAGTCGCCGAGGCCTCTCAGACCATCGTACTCGACACGCTCGCCACCCTTGAAGAAGAGAATAGTGGGGTAGCCGCGGAGACGGACGTCCTTGCAGAGTCTGGTCTCCACGTCGCAGTTGACCTCTCCGATATTCAGACGACCCTTCATCTCCTTGGCCAGTTGCTGCCAGTTAGGTGCCATGGCCTGGCAGTGATGGCACCAGGGCGCGTAGAACTTGACAAACCAAGGGTCCTGGGTCATGGTGACCAAGGTCTGGAATCTTTCGGCACTCAGAGGCACAGAGGCACCTTCCTTGTTGGGTGTGACTGTAGGTTTCTTAACGACGGCCTTGGTAGGAACGGCGATAGCCTTCGAGGTGGTGCTAGGCTTTGCCTCTGCCTTGACGTCGGCCTTTGCGTCAGTCTTTGTCTCAGTCTTCGTGTCGCCCTTGGCATCGCCCTTAGTATCAGCCTTCGCATCGGTCTTGCCTGCAGGCTTATCGTCCTCCTTCGCGGGAGGAGCCTTCGGGGGAGCCTTGGTCTCTTCCTTTGGCGGCGTCTTCTCGTCGGCCTTTGCGGGAGCCTTGCTATCAGTCTTGGCGTCCGTCTTGGCGTCGGCCTTGTCGTCCACAGGCTTCTTCGAGTCGTCGGCCTTTCCTGGAGCCTTTTCGGGGGAGGTCTTGTCGCCAGGCTCGGGATACTCGAGGCTGCGGGGCCTGGTTCCGGGCTTGGCCGCCTCGAGGTACTTCTCGATGATGGGGCTGATCTGGTCAATGTCCTTGACACCCTTGATCAACTCGGCCAGCTCGCCATTCTTGTAGAGGATAGTGCTAGGGTACGACGCGACGTTGTGGGAAGCGCAAAGATCAAAGTAGGCCACGCAGTTAATCGTGGCGAAGCGAAAATCGTAGAGCTCGGTAAAGGTCTTGTCCTCCTTGGACTCGGGCTTCGAAGTGTAGTACCACTCGTAGAGGGTCTGGTATATCGGCGCATAGTCTATGCAATGCGGGCAGTAAGGGCTATTCCATCGTCAGCACGTTGCGCGAAGGGCGGGTAAGCGATAGCATGATCGGGTACCTGTAGTGCTTGATAAGCATGAACTGCGAGGCCTTAACCTCCTTGTCAAAGGTATCCGGGGTCAACTCGAGTATTGGCGGCACTTTCATGGAGTTGAAGTAGGTGTTCTCCCGTTCATCCTTGTCTGCCTCTGCTGCTTGAACCCCGGAAAGGAGGGTCGAGCCCAAGAACAGGAACAAAGGTGATAACCTCATTGCGGCGATGAGGGTGCACCGCGTGAGTGCGATGACTTTGGAGCGAAAGATGGAAAGCAAAGTCTGTCAGGCGATGCCAATAACGACGGCTGGGCAGACGCAATCAGTCCAGAGGGCGCAACAAAGCGCGGTTGTGTCGTCAATTCGCAATGGTAAGGTGCAGCGTCAGATAGGTGTGGATCGGATCGGAAGTCGCGATTGAGGTGGTTCGAGGGGTTTGCAAAGGGTTTAGATAAAACCTTTTAGATTGCCGAAGACATGGAGGGTAGAAAAGTCGAGAAAGAAGCTAATGTTCCTTTCGTCGTCTGGGTCAAAGCCCCCCGAAAATCGTCCAGCGGCGTCGAAATGAAGGAGAAAAAAGGGTGGTGGTGGCAGGTTAGATGGGTGGTTGCTTCTGGCAAAGGGGGAAGCCAAGCAAAGGGACCAGCGAAAGCGAGCGACAGGACTGGCAGGTCAGGAGAAAGACCGTGTGTCAAGATTCTGTAGCGCGGTCCAGGTTCTCTGGCTGGTTCTGGTCCTTGGTGCCAGCCGTTGCGCAGCCAGACACGGGAGATGTGTGTTGCCTTAAATATGGGGCAACAACCGCTGCTTTGTGCGTGTTCTTGATAAGGCCACCGTCTCCAGTCAACCTCCAGCTGTCCGTTCTTGGTGTCCCCTGGCAAAGCCTGGCGGGCGGGAAGCGGAGAGTGTGGGAGAACAGCGGGAACTTGTGGTGCCAGCTGCCCGCCTGCTCGATCTGCCCCCACTAAACATTGGTTCATTTCGCCATTCGAAAGTTGGGCAGAGTTCAATCTTGCAGCAGCAGCGAGGTGGATCTGGGTTGCGATAAGAATAGAATGCTGCTTACCTAGCCTTCTCCATCTCGGATCGCCACCTCAAAATCTCACTACGCGTGCCACGCACCACACACTGCCATGCAACAAACTCGAGAGCTATGGAGAACTGTTCCAGTGGCACGTGCGGATCGTCATCGCATCCCACGAGGGAGAGTAAACTCAAGCTGGGGGCTTTTCAACCCCACGAAAGGACCCTGAACACCATGGCATTTATACGCTCAATTCTAAAACCAAAGGGTTACTGTATTGCATTTCCCATTCCTTGATCTGGCTGAGTCGACAACTAATCCACATCGTCACTGGTGCTGCTCGAAATTCCGCTGGAGCTGACATCATCGACAATGTCCATGCATTTATGTCCCAACAAGAAGTCCTCGAGATTGCGTTCTCGAATCTCTTCTAATATGTTCTTAAAAGCCAACCACTCGTCGAATGTCGGCACCGTCTCGCCCGGCTGTCTAGAGTCTTCCTTGCTATAAAGCCTGGCGGTCATAATCTTCATCGGAGTATCGCCAGCCGCGTTTGCTTGATCAGGGTTCAATCCGCGGATACGAGCATCGCTCAAAATGTCAATGAGCTCCTGATTTGCACTCTGGGCCGCAAAGTGGAGCATCCCGGACCCCTTTTTGTCGACGGCATCGAGTCTGGCGCCGTGCTGAATCAGGAGCTCCAACAACGCTGCATTGCGCCACAGAATCGTGTCGTGGATGGGTGTTCTGCCTTCGAAACCCCTCTGTTTGGACGGTACATTAAGGTCCATGCCGGCGTTGCAGAGCAAGTCGAGAGATCGATCCCAGTAGGCCCTCCTCGGATCCCAACGGGAGACGTTACTTGTACGGCGAGCCCTGTACGAGAGCGGGCACACCCAGTTTGTGTCGGTCTCAACCACCAAAGCACTTCCTCTCTGCAGTAGTAAGTCTACAACATCAGGGTTGTCGAACGCGAACATGATTGCGGTCTCTCCTTTGGACCCACGGTAGTTGTCGATCTTGGCATCAATGTTCGCACCAGCGTCGAGTAGTGCTTTAGTCATCCTCACCGAACCAGGAGATTCATATCGCCCTGCGTAATGCAGAGGTGTCCACCCGTTCCTGGTAGTCGTCTCGAGACTCGCACCGCGATACAGCAGCATATCGAACGAAGCGTAATCGGCCAGATAGATTGCCCAGTGCAGCGGACACCATCCGTAACTATCCAGGCTATCAATATCAGAACGAGCTAGCGTGATTGCGTCTGACAAAGATGTCGGGACGGTCCCGAGCATCGCATCGTGAATCAAGGATGATGTTTCAACCTCTTGAGAAAACGTCAATTGCTCGAGCATCCGACCATGCTCGGGCTTGAGAGACTGTATCTGGCTTTGCTTCGCCGCATAATAGAGCATGCGAGAGCGGCTGGCAGCGGTCCTAAGACGAGTCAACCTCGAACCGTCAACCAAGTAGTAGGGCACCGGATCAAGCTAGCTTACCAGCGAGTAACATTTTCAGTGTGCAACGGCCATCCTTGCTCGACCAGAAATTCCGAAAGCGTCAAGTTGACGTCGCGTAGCGATATCTGAAGACGTTGCAACAAGGTTAAGGAACTAGGACGATCTACAGATATCGATACACACGGACGTACCATAAGGAGCGAGTTCCCATCCTCATCTATATCTGTAGGCAGTACAGTTGAGTTGATGATTCCTCTTTTTATCCAATCGATGTCGAAGTTATACACAATCGATATCATCTGGTCGCGTGGGATTATTCGCGGGATACGGAGGTGAATCGAAGAGCCGATTCCGGTCAGACTGTCCCGTGAAGCAGCGACAAACAGGGCACGCAAGAGGAACCACTGGGGAAAGATGTATATCATCCGTGTCGAATCCGGTGCTCCTTCACACGTCTCAAGATCGCACTTTCTGGGCCCCAGCAGTGATTTTCTGTTGAATTCGAGGAATAGAGTCCCCAATATCAAGCGTAGCCATGTCGGTGTCTGTAGCCTAGAGTGTCGATGGCATTGACATTTGCAATACGATGTGCATTTTCGGTCGACTGGTTTCTGGACTGACCCAAAGGGGATACCTCCGGTCTTTATGTAGCGTAGACCGTTGCTCATCACAATCGAAGGCTGGTCTCTTCCTTGCTTCGAGTCCTCTGGTTGCAAAGTCTTGGCAAGCATCTGGTTGAGAGAGACCTTGACATCGTTCAAGTCGGCTTGATTCATGATTTGTATCTGTCGATGTATCCTGCCCTCCTCTTCCAAAGTCATGAAAGAAGTCTCAATGAGCTGGCGAACTTCCAATATGGCACTGGCGTGATGGGAGCTATTCGAGTCAGCGACTCGCTGAATCGCACTCGCCTTCAACCGTCAACTTGCGCTTACCTTTGTGAGGAGATAAGAGCGCCAAAACAAAGGATTAGAGATGTCTTGGTCTTGCTTGCCTTGCATCTCAGCTTGGCAACATTACTTCTCTCCCGGATCCACCTCGACATTGAGACTCGAAGTTGCCCGCTCATTTCATCGCCAGACTTTGTTCCCGTGAGACGATGACACAGAGCTAGCAACTCCTCTTGTATACTCTCTAGATCCTGTTTCAAAGCCAGCGTCGGGGCGACGTTTAACACCGGAAGAGCAATATCTCCCTTTCCCAATTCCTGAAGCGGGCTCTTGACCTGCTCGATAACACCCTGAAGGGCTGTCAACTCATCAACGAGCTCGCAAAAGTCCGCCGGAGCATGACGAAGAGAGAGGAGTATCTGTAATCCTTTTCCAACAGCCGCCGATGCCTGTATCAAGGCGATGATGCTTGCGGCGGTGGAAAGAGGATCCATGCTGAGTTGACCGCTAGAGGGGATGAAAGAGAAAGGATGGATGCACCGCCAAACTTGAAGTAGGGCGTGATTGGGAAGGATGCCAAGCCTATTCAGCCGGCCCGCATATCAGCTGAAAAGGTTCGACGAACCATCTTCTCTGAAAAAGTGAAGCCGGCCCAAATGGGATCAATACGGCGGAGGCAATGTAGGTGCTTGCAGGCAAAAGCTCAGCCTATCACATCGCGGGCCAGGAAGCTTGAGGCCAGGAGAGAGGCCATGCTTGATACATTGCTGGAGCCATCATTTCAATTCAGTTGCGAATTAGCGGAAATTCATGGCATTTTTATGAGAGATGAACAAGTAGGCTTGGAGTACACTTACAAGGCAGTAAACAGAGATACAGTAAATGCACTTCGAAAGCAATAACGTCACTACCCTGCTAGAGTAGCTTCGAGTACTGCAACAAAGACAACGGGTGGTTTTGAGAATTGCCAGAACCATGCATAGATAGGTCTTCTTAGCTATATACCAATATACGCAACTCAATTGTTTGACTATAAATCCAGTCCAAGAAGTTTTGGCTTATTTGATGGGTTTTTTGGGTACAGAAGTAACCGCAAGGGCTAAGCACGCCGCGGTTATGTGCCTAAACGGATCTAAGCCGGAGCCACCTGCCTAGAACAACGATTTGGCACATCTCGCTCCTTCCATCCGTCCACCTCATAAAGTCTCAGCCACCAACCCCGTCTCAAGTAATCTCGCTCCCCTGGAACAAACTTGACCCCCCTTATACATGCCGTACATGATCACTCATTGATTTCATTTTCGCCATGAAGCGAGCATTCAAACGACAGCGACGTGCCGAAGACTTGGAGGGGCTGCCGCCGACAACTCAGTCAGACCATGTGGAATCCCTGAACCGGCCTATAAGTCCTCCCATGAAGAGAAAACAGCCGGGCATGCGTATCAAGTCGCCGTTCCAGCTGACAACCATAAGGGATCTCCCCGAGGCTGCCAACCGCGACTGCGTCGGCCTCGCTGACATCCTGGGCGATCCTATGATTGCAGAGTGTTGGGAGTTCAACTTCCTGCACGACGTTCACTTTCTCATGAGCCACTTTGACGAGGATACCAGGAACCTAGTCAAAGTTCACATCATTCACGGTTTCTGGAAGAGAGAAGATCCCAATCGCATAGCCCTTCAGGTCAGCCGATGATAACGAGTATAAGCCACTGAACAGACCTGAACGCTGACGTTGAAAAGGAAGAGGCAGGAGCGTATCCCAATGTTGAGCTACACGGGGCTTTCATGCCGGAGATGTTTGGCACTCACCACACGAAAATGATTGTGTTGGTCCGGCATGACGACTCAGCCCAAGTGATCATACATACGGCCAACATGATCGCCAAGGACTGGACGAATATGACCAATGCTGTCTGGAGATCTCCAATTCTGCCACTACTTCCCGAAAAGGTCGTTGACGAGAACGAATCAGCGGGTAGACATCCTTTCGGAACAGGGGAAAGATTCAAATACGATCTGCTGAGCTACCTCAGAGCGTACAACACACGGAGACCAATCCTCGTAGACTTGGTCGAAAAGCTGCGCAGATACGACTTTTTAGGTGTGCGTGCAACACTCATTGCTAGCGTCCCCGGCCGACATCCCATTCGCGACACTTCGCAGACAACCTGGGGATGGCCAGCCCTAAAAAGAGCACTGCGCAATGTTCCGGTCCAAGAAGGGAAGTCTGAGATTGCGGTTCAGATATCGTCTATTGCTACTTTAGGGGCCACTGACAGCTGGCTCCAAAGGTGCCTCTTCGACTCCCTAGCCGAATCCAAGAACAAATCCCTTGCGACACCCAGGCCAACGTACAAGGTCATCTTTCCTACCGCGGACGAGATTAGGCAAAGTTTGGACGGCTATGCTTCAGGAGCATCAATCCACACCAAGATTCAATCCCAGCAACAGGCGAAGCAATTGGCTTACTTGCGGCCCATCTTCTGTCACTGGGCAAACAATTCGCCTAATGGCAAAGGTAGGGTGACGGGTCTCGACCTATCAATACACAACTAACATCCCATAGCGTTGAGTGATGATTCAGTTGTAAAAGAAGCCGGCAGACA